GGAGACAGCTCAGCTGAGATCCTGTCTACATGACCTGTCCTTGATAAAGTGGGCAACCCAAACTGAAGAGTGCTTTATTACTAGGGCCCACAAAGGAAGAATGATAGCCCAGTCCAGCCAGAGATACTCCACTTGTATCAAAAAACGTGGTCTCTGCTCTCCTCAACATGCACTGAACTCTTTCAAAGGAGCATTGACCGGCTGTGATATGGCTAAAAATTTACTGTACCTCAGGGCCCAGTCCCTTGGTATAAGCTTGTGATGTCTCCTGCAGGACCTTCCACGTTTGGAACGAATGCTGGATGGCTCGGGCTGATTTGCCACCCCAGTACAGTGGGTGGCAGGCACTGGATGCCACCTGCCAGGAAAAAAGCGAAGGTAAGATATCAGAGATGGGCTTGAGAAAGGGGGGAAGAGGAGCAGTTCAGCATTCCTCCCTTCCCCAACTTCCAGTGGAAAGGTGCAACAGGACAGGGACTCACCCTGTTGACTTTAGGCCCAAAATCATTATTTATCTGTTTGGTTTATGCAGCTTATGTAGCTTTAAGAGCTCTATCACAGCACTGCTTCCTAATGTCTTCCTGAACTAGACACTTCACTAATCCCAGTATAGGTCTAAACTAGGGATGGCTTTAGCTGGTAAAGCATCTGAATCTTAACTAGGCCACGTTTTCTCTTCAGGTCGATCCTTCTGTGGGCCAGCCCCTGTCCACGCCATCAAGGAAGGGGACACAGAAGTCGATTATGATGTTTGCTACTTCTTTGCTGCCATCAATGCCAAGTGTCAGGTCTGGATACAAAGAGCAGATGACACCCTTAAGCCAGCTTTTGGTGGCACAAAATACACTGGCAACAACATCAGCACCAAGAGTGTTGGCAGTGAATGCTGTGAGGACATCACACACAACTACAAGTATCCTGAAGGTATGGGGTTGGCCAGTGGCTGAGAACCTTCTGTGGCAGTGTTGCAAGTGAAGAGGAAAAGGCTAGAGAGCAGAGCCAAACCAAAACACCAGGGTCATCCACTTCTCACAACTTCCCCTTCTTCAATGGCACAAGAACACCCAACTCTGTCTACAGAACCAAAGCCTGAATTTCATCTGCTTAATTACATTAACCAGGTCTGTGGATGGCTGGGTGTTTCTTTACCAGGCACTTCCACAGCTGGAAAAACTTTTCTGGTTCCTGTTGCCTCTACACTCTGTACATTCACCTCCCATTACCTCTGTAATAGATAGACAGACAGATAGATAGAACTATTTCAGACCCCAGCTTTCTGAAAAGGACTGTTATGCTCTCAGATATTGCCTAAATCTCTCCCTCAAAAAGTAGCTTCAGAATGTGAGTGCTGTTTCCCTGACCCAACCCTGCCATCTCATCTTAGGCTGTGGCATGTTGTCTCTTTGGCTGCAGTCCATCACATGAGAACACAGCCCTGTGCTTCAGCTACAGCAACACTTAAAGAGGCCAATGCCTCCTTTACTCTGACAGATGTTAGCACCAAGGTGCTTTAAAAGCTGTGACAACTGTTCCCAAGTAGAATCTGTCAGGTGCATCCAATGAATATCCTGTCAGCTGAAATTCTTGAACTGCTCCAACCAGAAGCTCAAAAGGATATCTCTCTATGCTCTTAGAAACAGTTATCTACAGTAGTGCCAGGATAAATCAATGCCATTCTCCTGCACTTGCTGCTTCACACTAGTAAACTGGAAAGGATGCTAAAATATGTGTTCCTTTTTGTGACAGGCTCTCTTAAGGAAAAAGGAGTACTTGACAAAGCCTACAGAAGTATAAGAAAACTTGAGACAACCACCAGCAGCAGCTCAACACAGTTTAGCTCCATTCCTATTGCCCTTGAAGAGCCAGTTAACCTTTCCCTCCACCTCCAGTCGAGTAGTTCTCTGCAACCGGGACAAGATATTCCACTTTCCATTGAAATGTCTAACCACAGTGGTGAAGAAAAGGCTACTCAGCTGGTAGTTGGGGTTCAATCTCTACATTATAATGGTGTGCCCATTATCCAGCTTTGGAAGGAAGAGTTTAATTTTAACCTCCAAAGCAATGAAGGTAAGGACTCTGCTGAGTGCATGGCTAGAAAAGTGTATCTAGTTCTCACTTCAGAAAAAATGCTCTTAGCCATAAGTTTACAAAAGGTTGTCTGAATAGTTGATTGTAAATGATTGCCCAGAGAGGTTGTGGAGTCTCCCTCATTGGAGATATTCAAGGACCATCTAGACACAATCCTGTGCCATATGCTCTCAGATGACCTTGCTTGGGCAGAGAGGTTTGACCACATGATTCATTTCCAAGCTTACCCATTCTGTGATTCTGTGAAATACAACACTTTGGCAACACCACCTGAGAGATTTTCAATCTGTGAATCCAGCTGGGATCACTTAAGCATTTAAATGCTGCAGCTTTCAGTACAATGTTGGGCACTAAACACTCAGAGGTGTCACACAGGCAAAGAAAAGACTCTGCTCATCTTCTGTCATTTCACCACTCTATTCCAGTCCACAACCTGAAGATCCTTGTGCCTTACTCATGGTGTGGAAAAGAGCTGGGGGAGAACCACCTGCTCAGGCTGACTGCTGTGCTGAGAGATGAGGCCTCCTGCTACATATACCTGGCACAGGAAGAGATCAGCGTTTCTGACCCCCTTCTCACTATTGAGGTTAGACTGGGCTGTCATTCTGTTACTGCAGTAGGGAGAAAACAGCTTTCACAGTCACAGGCAGCAAAACAACTCTGCTGGTTCAGTGGCTCTCCTCATGCATTGTTCTTTCAAAGCACTGGGATATCAGTTTGGGAAAGGTGAGTTGGGCCAGTGTTGTACACAGTGCTCCCACTCCTGCCTTTTCTGGGTGTGTGCATGAGGAAATCCTGATGACTCCTAACTCACTGACTACTCCGGAAATCAGAGGCTGCAGAAGGAAACTAGAACAGAAGAAATTAACCTGGATTTTGCCTCTTCTGCCAACTGGCAGCTCAGGCTGAGACCTCTGGCACCAAAAATTATACATCTCCCTTTAATCACAGAAGAATCTTTTTCCTTCTCTCAGTTTCAGCTCATTTCCTTCTTTCAACAGCTTCCAAAAAACATGGTACAGTATCAGCCAAGCACAGCAAGGATCAGCCTCCTGAACCCTTTCCCCAAACCCCTGGAGCAGTGTGTGGTAGCAGTTGCAGGGCAAGGGCTCATTTACAGACAGAGGAAGTACAGGTAAGTGCAAACTGATGGATCTGAGAACAGCAAATGGAAAAAGAGACACAATACAAGCTAGAGAAACCCTTGCACAGGAAAGGCTGTCCCCAAAAATAACCAGGCAACAACGTGGCAGGAAGACACTGCTTTAGCATGAAAGCCTCAGGCATTCTGTCCTTTATTTATATATAATACAGAAGATTTTCACACTCAAAAGGAGAAGCTAACAGAACTTCCAACAAATGTGTAACGCATAGGTTGAAGCCAATATGGCATCTGTGAAAGCTTCAACCCCAAAGGCCTAGACAACAAAAGGAAAAGCCTCCTGCCAACAAAAGGATAACAAGAGAAATACCACAAGACTAAGTCAGAAACTCACATTAAATAAGACAAATTAGAGGTCACTGAAATGAGCCATGAAGTTTAGAAATTATTTGCTGTTGAGAAATCAATTACTTTTTAGTGAGCCACTTGAACATCCTTAAGTGGATGTTTGTGACATATCTTTCCACCCATTACCCACTGTAAGCAATAAAGACAGTCCCTGGGTACAATTGTAGTGGTGTCTTCCCCTTCCCAACTGGAGAACCAGACAAATGTGACTTAGCCAAGAGTCATCCAAAAAGGTGTGCTCTCCTGCACAGGACAAACACCCCACATTTATCTGAAGAAGCTGCATTAGGACAAAGTCACCTTAGATGGCTCCATGGGGAGTTTCAACTTTCCTGTCCTACCTCCTGCCCAAACTACTGTCAGATGACAATTCCATTGTGGCAGTTTAGATAACTGCTAGCTTTCTTCTATTTCTTTTTCTCCTTTCTTTTCTTTTTACTTTTGGCACCACACTCCTGTCCACCAAATGCATCTCCTAGGCCCAGGGAACCAGAAATACAAAGAGGTGTGATTCCTGTATAATCCCTTCTCACCTTTCAGGTTGGGATCTGTGCAAGCTAAAAGCACTCAAGAGCTGCAAATCCCATTCACCCCCATCCAAGCAGGGCCCAGGAGACTCACTGCACAACTTACCTGCCCTCAACTCCAGAGCCTGAAGAGCTACAGAACTACTGACATTGCAGCTGCCTGAGGCCCAGCTTGGAACAGGTCCTGCTTACAAAAGAGTGGTCATGATCTGTGCCCTGATCTTAGGCAAGCACAGATGTTAACAGTTTAATAAAAGTTAAGTTTAAAACCATGTCTGATTTTGATTATTTGTATAAATTCAGCTCTCTCCCATCTGGCACTATGTCCACTCTCCAGTTTCAGAAGTTGAACCTTACTGTGACAAAGATGGGCTGAAGGCTCAAGCAGAAATTTCTCACCACACACATGTGCTGAACCCACCACTGCTGAGACATTTTCCCTCCCTGTGAAAACAAAAGGATATCCTGGAACTTTAAAGTGATGATACATGCAGCAATTCTCTAGAGATACACCCCTCTCCCCCTACAGATCCTTGATATTAATAAAGTAGTAAACAGTATTTTCTGCTGCTTTCGGAGGAAATAAATAATAGAAAGCTGTTTATTGCTCTCTAAGGTTAAACAGGAAACAGCAACAGTGCAGCATATTTTATAATGGTTCATTGGGCTGCTTGCAAAAGAAACAAGACCCCTTCCTTCAGTATATATCTTCTGCCACCTGAAGACAGATAAAGCAACTAATGCAAATCTGGCAATATTTTATTGTTCTTTGAACCCCACAGTAGTTGTAATGTCTGAAGAACGGGGCAGGTTAAGATGCAGCACTGCATCATCCCAAGAATCCAAGTAAAATGACAACTTCTGCAACGGCAAAGAGCAACTTCCTGGAAAAGTTTTTCCAAGTGGCAGTAAGGTTCTCTCCTAGAAACATTGTTCTCCTCATTCTCCGAGCAGCTGAAGAACAGCAAGATTCACTGGAAAAGCACATGCCAGAGCCAGTGGCAGCAACACACGTAGGCACAGGAGAGCTAGAGTTGACCCTGTGTGAAGTTCTTGATTTTGTTCATGTTGTGATCTACTGCACCATCTAGAAACTGCACCCAGCCTTCCTCTGATGGTGGACACACATGGCTTGTCCTGCAAAAGTGGAGGAAATTCATTAGGAAAGCCTCCTGGGTGTCCTACATCTATGCATCCAGGCAACACAGGGGTACTGTGAAGTGCTGAATAACCACAGCACTAAACAGGGCTGCTATAACCCCAGAGGGCTTTGAGCAAGGAAGAACCCACATTCATGCATGTAGTCCCAAACCTTAACACACGTGTGTGTCTTCAGTGGGAACTGCTTTCATCCCTACCATCCTTTTCTTAGTCTCACTCCTCACATAACATCATAACTACTCCAAAATGCCAGCATTTACTGTCTAGAAATGAGTCATATTTGACACGAGGCAGAAAGGTCTGAACTTTCATACCAGGGAACACACACTCATAAAACTGTAGCTCATACTCACTTTGCAATCTCTAAGACCTTCTTTAACACTGAGGCCAACTTAGCAGCCTAGAAGGAAACAAAAGGGAAATGAAGTGAGCCAAACGTGAGGAAAAACAGGGTCTCAGCAGTACTGGAAAGGAAAGAGAAATGCAGGAATGCTCAACAGCCAAAAATGAGTAAAACTGCCACCAATCCTGATGCAGAATGGAGTTATCTATCACTGCCAAGCTGGAAGTGTCTCCCACCCTACTGCTGGCTGGGACAGGTAAAAATAAAGACATGTATGGTTTTTAAAGCATACATTAAAATGCTTTATTTAAAAAAAAGACAAGCCTATTAGAAATTGATAACTGATATTAAGATATGAAGTTACAAGTGACTGACTTTAATGCAATTTGATATTAAGCAATACTTTCTTTTTTATTGCAAAAAATCATGCCACTGGCCAAAGGCATGAAAGCAGTTTTGTCACTGGACATCTCTATGGATTACAGCTCAGAGCTAAAGCTCCAAGTGGTCATGCCCTTCCCAGAAGAGGTAAAGATGAGGAATGTATTTCCACCTGAAGGAAGCTAAGGAAGCTAAGAACCACTCTTCAACCCTAAGAAATCTTTACTGAGGCAGTCACTAACACCCACCTCTCCCTGACAGTCACATAACCCCTCCAATTTGATTTCTCCCCATTCTCTACAGCCCAGTCCCACACACAGGCTGCAGATACTCACATTAAGTCGCACAGCCAGAGGGTTCACAGGTGGGTACATGCTCAGTGCCAGCTCATCAACACTAGGATAGAAAAGTGGGGAGCAATGGAAGAAAGGTCCTGCCAGCACAACTCATGGATCCTGGTCCAAGCCCACACCCAGCCCTGAATGTAAGTCAGGAACAGCAGTGCATGCCAAGCAGACATCAGTCATGCCCATGGGATGTGCCCCTCTCACCACAGCGTGAGATGTGGCCACAGCTCCACCCCAAATTGCAATGTCTGTTCCCCTCCTGACCTGCACAACTCTCAACAGCTTATACTATAGCAGTCTCCCCACCACCTGCTCACAGCTCCAGCACCATAAAGGCAGTCCTAATCCCTTCTCTAGACCTCAAGAGAGACCAGGGCTGCTCCAGAGCAAAAAGCAGCACAGGGAGAGACCTGCTTACCTTGGACTGATCTCATTAGCAATGTCTGCAAGGTCATCCAGCTGAGCAATCTGCTCTGGAGAATCAGCTTTGCCATAGGCCTTCACTGCACCCAGGACCTTCTTCAGGCAAGCTTTGGAAGCCTTCATTAACCCCATGCAGGAGCTCAGCAGCTGCCGGTCACCTTCTGACCAATATGTGTCTCTGTTGCCCCGAAAGCCCAGCTCTTCATCTTCCATGATGTCACCATAGGGATCCTGCCCTTCCACCAGTGCCTGAGAACACAGAGGCACTGAAAACCCAGAGCCTGACATCAATTCCAGCAATACCCGGGAGGAAAGGGAGAACACCATCTAGACATCATGCAAATAATTAATGGGGGAAATCTCAGCTGGTTAATCCCAGAACTGGATTAAGATAAATTAATCCCCCACTCTAATTCAACAGTGCAAACAGCAAGAACCTGGTAAATACTGCCATTCCTACATCACCCTAAACTTCCTCCCACAATCTCCCATGTCCCCCATTTCAGGACATGGCTTTATGGATACCTTACCTCAAGTAAACCCGGTTTGAGATTAAAAAGTCATTAAAATCCATGCAAAAAACAATAACCTAGGTCATATCAGAACAAATTTAAACCAAAGCCTGTATATAAAACAATCCCTGCATTCCATCACTAAACCACCATAGAGGGTGGTGGGGCACTGGAACAGGGCAGTGGTCACAGCCCCAAACTTGCCAGAGCTCAGGCATTGTTTGGACAATGCTCTCAGGCACATGGTGGGATTGTGGGGGTTGCCCTGTGCAGAGGCAGGAGTTGGACTCGATGATCCTTGTGTGTCCCTTCCAACTCAGGATATTCTGTGAGTCTACAATCCACCACTGCAGGTTGCTCTGAGGCTCAGGGGCTTCCTTACATGTTCCATCTCCTCCACAGCATCCTTGACCACACCCAGACACGCAGTCAGAGCTGATGCAACTGCTGCCTGGTTATCTGCAAAGGAAAAGGATAAAAATTGTGGCACCCCACTGTTTCAAATCAGTTTGCAACAACCTTCATCTGGGTTTGCCATCATTAGATCTTGAGATTGCAGGATCATACTTCTTGCAGAGCTCAGAGCTGCACTGTTGTCATGCAAAGAATCTGGCCTGGCTTCCATGCTTATACATTTCAAAACCAGTCGGGTTTTGGAGAACGAGTGAGCCTTCATTATACCACCCAGAATACCTTTGCAAAGGCTACTGATATTCCAAGACAACACATCCTAGTTCTGTTGTTCTGCATTTACAACACTCACCTTGTGGCAGGTTGGACACTTGTTCACATGCCTCCCACACACCTCCAGTGGATATAAGCTGTTCCTGAGACAAGCTGAAACAAAACAAAAGCCCCCAAAGTTAGACTCCAGTATACTTGTTAACAAGTATACTTGTAACTTTTTCTTCCCTTTTTTCCAAAAAATTATCATAAAATCATAGGATCATGTGACTAAAAATTACCTCTCCGCTGGAGCATTGAGAATTGTGTCTGTGAGCTGGATCATCCCTTCCACTACTTCAGTGGTAGCATCTCGCACCATCTTCCGGAGAGTAGTACCTGGGTGAGATTGAGAAAGAGCAAGAAAGCTGCCACAGTCAGCACTGACAGAAAGCAACTGCTGAGATGAACACAAAGATGAACACACAGACTGCTCTGTTTGTGTGGATACACTGTATAAATGAAGTTACAGGTATTTGGAAGGAAGCAAGATGCTTCCCAGTTCCAAAAGGACTCTGGACAATAATTTCAACACTTCATAAATACCAACACTCAATCAACTATACAACTTCCTACATTATCTTTCTTCCACAGATGGAAATCTGCAGGAGTAGACAGACAAGTAGTTCACTCATAAACACGTTCAAAGTCTACAGAACAGCTGATAATGGGATAACCTGCTAATGAAAGTTTGCTTTCCTGTGGATGTCAGATCTCATACTGGGCTCTGAAATACGGGGTTTCTTTATACAGGGGTGGCTGCCTTGCTGTCACTATCTCACCTTGGCCCTTGGGGAGCCAGTAGTACACTGTGGCAACTGCAAGAATGGCATTTTGGACATCTTCACTCAGCTTCCTGCAATCCTGAAAATGGAGACGCAAAAGGATCACCTTCAGATCATCATGAGTAGCACACAGCTGCAGCATATTTAGAAAGTCTCACAAGCAATCACTGGCTTTCAGACTGCTTTGAGAAAAGGGAAACATAATAATGGCCGTCCAGTTTGAGAAACAAATCCAACACAAGAAGAAAATACAAATAAACAAGCTGTATGCATAATAACATGACTGGGTAACAAAACACGCCCTGGTGTGGTGGTCACACACCAGAGAGGAAGAAGTAGCTTAGATCATTATTCTGGAGATTTTTTATTCCTGTCCTCCAAACACAGGTGTGATAAATTTCTCTCAATTAATAGCAAAAATATTTCATATTCTTTGTTGGATCTAAAGTCTGTATTCTCCAATATTCTGTTTCTATCAGCAACTAGCTGCAACTGCTAAAGAATGTAAGAACACTTCTAGTAAGTATATCTCCTTAGCTCATAGAAATTAGTTCTCTGGGCAGCTCTTGGATTGTGTTAATGAACTCTACAATACACAGTCCATAGTGACATCCCTTGTTTGCACTGGACCAAATTGTTTTAATCAAGTGAACCGAGAGACACCTGAACCTTCATGCACAGGGGCAATTTCACAGCCTGTGGAGGCTTTCACTCACCTCTGCAGAAGGTAGCGGAGGCCTTGAGAACGCCAGACTCAGCTTTGTAGCTTCCTGTGATGTTACCTGGAATGTCTGACCTAGAAAAAATCCAATGGGAGCAAAAGAAAAGAAAGTAACTTGGGTAAAAGATAAAAGAACAGAGTGGCTTGATGAGCAACATCTCTGATGCTACTACTTGATTATCATTACTTGCTTGATTATCATTACTTGCTTGATTATCATTACTTCCTTCCAAGCCACACAAACATATACACTAAATCCCACTCCAAAGAAGAATTCCATGGTGCCATGCATGTAGCTTGTGTCCTATGCCTGCTTTTTTTCTTTTTTTTTTTTTTCTCATATGGCTGGTAGTGATACCCACAACCCCGGTCTGCATCTCGCTCCATGACCCCTTCACCAGGATGTGCTGGGAGGCTTTAACAGGGACCAAAGGCTCTATAAATCTTGTGTACCAACGGTTCGATACCGGCTGCTGCTTTGCCAGGTGACCACTGTTAGGGTGGTCAGGCACTGGAATAGGTTGCCCAAGGAGGTGGTGGAGTCACTATCGCTGGAGGCGTTTGAGCGGCGCCCGGATCTGGCGCTGAGCGATGTGGTTTAGGGGTTACAGAGGCAGCGCTGGGTTGACGGCTGGACTCGATGATCTTAAAGGTCCATTCCAACCCTGATGATCCTACGATTCCACGAGCGGAGGGTACGTGCCAAGCGCCGGCTGGAGACCCGCGGGGGATGGGAGCCCTGCCCCGCAGCGGCCCCGGCACACCCCAAAGCCCGGTCCATCCCCTCCCCGCCCGTACCTAGCGCGTCCCAGAAGCGCGGCAGCTCGAACGGCTCTCGGCCCTCGCCCGGCTCTCCCTCTGTAACGGCACAGACACAGCTCAGCCCGCGGGGAGCCCGGCTCGGCTCGGCCCGAACCCCGCCCGGCCCCGGCCCGCACCTCGCACCCGCGCCAGCACCGCCCGCAGCGCCCCGCGCACGTCCCGCAGCGGCTCCCGCGCCTCCATCCCCGCGGGAGCGGCCCCGCAGCGGCCCCCGCGTCACGTCCGCTCCCGGCAGCGGCTGCACCGCCCCGGCCCGCCCCTCCCGCGGCCCCGCCCCGGCCCCGACAGACAAGGACCGAGCCAGGTTGCATCGAAGCAGTTTATTAGTGAGGGAGGAAGCGCGGAGGCAGCGGGGTGTGCCGGGGTGTGCGTGGCTATGATAGGAACGGGGGCTCACGCCCCTCTACATCAGCCGGCGGAGTTCCTCGAAGTTGAGCATGTTGTTGGCTACATCGGACCAGGCTGCGTGGGTCGCACCGTCCATCTCAGGGGCCAGCCTGTTGCTGCTGTCCAGGGCGTGGTTTGTGCCCCCGATGACTTCATGGCACTCAGGGCACTTACTCTTTTCCATTGCCCCCCCACACTCCCCAATCACGTAGATATGTCCATTTTTGCACTTGAACCAGTGGCCACGGGGACAGCCAACAGCTTTGACAATCTCCACCCGCTCAGCTTCAGAAATCCCCAGGCCTGACACAGGCAAGGCACTGCTGATGTTCTTCATGTGAGCCTTCACTGCAGCCTCATCCTCCTCTGTGAATTTCTTTGTCCCTTCCAGGATCTCACGTGCACTGGCGATCTTTGCTGCCAGCTCTGGGGAGATCATCCTACTCGGAAGGTTGCACCTTGCCAAGAGGTTCAGCAAATAAGTCAGTCTCTGGATCTCAGACTGCAGGTCAGAGAGCTCCTGTTCTGTAAAACTGATGCGTTGCTTAACCAGCCACGAATGGACTTCACGGAGGCGCATTCTCAGCCCTTGCTGCTCACTTTCAGCAATTTTGCTCATAGAATCTGTTAGGTCTGCTATACGTTCGTAGAAGTTAAGCTGGTTCTCAATTAATCCAATTCTCTTTGTGGACAGATCAGAAGCTTCCAGCATAAATTTCAGCATAAGGTACTTCTCCACTAGATTATTCTTCAGAACATCATTCCCTGCCAGTGCAGCCTTCAGTCTTTGTCTGCTAGACTCAATTTCCTGTACTGAGCCATTAATTTTCTGTTTCACCCGTTCTATCTCATCCACCTGCCTTTTCACCCTGGTGCCATATCTCAGGTTCTTTCTGATGGCTTTTTGACACAAAGGGCATACCTTCAGCTTGACCACATCATCGTCTTCATCCATATAATGGTCAAGGCCTTGGGACTCAAAGATATGGCCGCAGTCTTCGAGCTGTACAAATCGAGCATCTGGGTCGTCCTCAAAGCCAAAAAAGATCTGAGTGAGTTCTTCGTGGTCACAAACAAGGCACTTCTTTGGGCAGGGCTCTCCACAGAATCCAGCACAGGGATGACCACAGCGCAGTAGCTTAGGACATGGCACATTGCAGCGAGGCCTATTGCACGGCTCAAAGCAAAGGTTGGTACACTGGTAGTGCTGGCACTGCCACTCACACGGCTCAGCACAAGGAGCACAGTTTTCACCACATTTCTTGTTACACTTACTGTGAACACAGTAGTTCTCACATTTCAGCTGACAGGGAGGGCATTCTGTAGTACAGGGCTCCTGACACTGGTGAGAGCAGATCAAGATGCGCTTGCATGTCTTGTTACATGCCCTATGAAATCTTCCTCCAAAGCAATCATAACAGGAACCTGAACATGCATGACCACATGCCAGTGTGACAGAACACTTAGTAGAACATTTCACAGCCATCCCAGGTTGCCTCTCTTCCCTCTCAGCGATCCAGCATGCAACTGGCTGCTTGTGGCCACATTTCAGTGTGGCTGTGACCTGCTCAGGACACTGGTTCGTGCATTCCTGCCCACAGAAATTGTTGCATTTGTGTCCACAGTTCAACCTTTTCTGGCAGTTTTCTTGGCATATAAATTCACTCTCTGGAGTAGAGCAGGGCACCATCTGCCTGTGGCCACACTTAGAAATAGTTTTCTCTACCTTCACGAGACATCGTCCACAGGGTATATAACACAGCTGTGGGCAGCGGTGCCCATCTGCACAAAGCACCTTTTGACAAGGCTTCAGACACCGGAACTGTTTGTGGTCCATGTCATAGGGGTGACATGCCCTTGTGCAAACATGTCCACAATTCAATCTAAACTCACAGGGACGATTACAGCCTCCCTCCGGGACTTGGCTGAAGTCTGCAGCTGTAGATACCAGTGTCTTGGTTTCCGGGTGGTTTTGACAGCAAAGCATCAGTGAGTGGCCAATGTGATCTTTCTCCCGAAGGGTGTGAATGATCTTGCTCCAGAGAGGAACCTTGCCAAGCATTCTCATGTTTCCAATACAATACAGCCCTTTCTTAGCTCTGGATAATGCTACACATACCCGATTAGGAATCTGCAAGAACCCAATTCTCCCCTCTTTGTTGCTCCGCACCAGTGACAGCAAAATAATATCATTCTCCTCCCCCTGGTATTTATCTACTACGTGAACCTTTACATCTTTAAAGATCTTTGCTGGCATGAGCTTACGCAGACAGAAAAGCTGTCCAGTGTAAGTAGTGAGAATGGTGATCTGAGAAGGTTGATAATCCTGGTTCAAGAAGTATTTGCACAGTTCCACTACAAACTGGGCCTCGTGTGGGTTCTGGTGGCTTTTCCCTTCCTGGATCTCTTGCTCAGGAAAATCATGTTCCACAAAGAAGAGGTTAGATGAGACGCCCTGAAACAAGAGAAAGGATGTCAAAGAGAATTCTAGCTTCTGTCCCCCTAGGCTGTTTCCAGATGGAACCACAAGATTCTCCAGAATAGCTTCTTATAGGAGAAATGGGGTAAAATTTGTGGTCTCCTAAGTTGTTGTGTGTTTTAGGTGGCATTTTTGTTGTTTGTTGGGTTTTTGTTTGGTTAGATTTTGGAGCGGGGTTTATTTGGCTTTTTAATACGTTTGACTAAATCATTTATTGTGCATGTTAGACAACAAGTGATTAGTTTATATTTGTAAGCTGAATACATCCTGTTTGCACATGTTGTTTATTGGTAAAATGTCCAGAGAACCCAAGAAAGGAGGGTTCCAATAATCAAGTCACCTATTTTACCTTGCAGTTTCACATATTGTGTATATGTAGCTTTCAATCTCCTACAATTCTTTTGTTCACTCTTTTTCTTTTAAAGTCATCAGTACTGGATCCATTTCCAGTGTCCACCATCACTAATCCCAGAAGAACTACAAATTCCTTACCTGATTCTATATCACACATTTCCTTGATTTGGATATAAATTTCAGTAAGTGTATTTGAGCTAAGAATTTGAAATCCTTGGGCACTGTATTTTACAGAAACTCCTTTAGCCTGTAACAGGGGACAAAAGCAATTTTTTGGATTTCTGAAAACTCACTTTTATGTTCTCATATTTCAGGACAGAGGGATGGTTCTCCAGCTCCTGGTATATATGAGGACTGATAAGTTGGGCAATTTCAGGACGCATGCGGTGCTGAAACACAAAGAGCTTTATCAGTCTTGAGGAAGGAGCACCATATTTCACTGGCAATATTCTGTTGTTCCACTGTACAGACTGTGGCTGAATACAACACAAGGATGACTTTGCAGTAAGAGGCAAGAAGGGAGCACTTCCCAGTCCCTGCTCTCCCCTACCCCATTGCTGACACCACCATCACCTTCAGGAGCAGTAATGGCAGAACATCTTCAAGGCAATCACTTGGTAAGGTTGTTGTACAAGAGTGCTGCTTTCAGGGCAAATCTAAGAACACTTATTATAGATAACAAAAGCCAGCACTTCACCCTAACCACTACTAGGTAGTTTTAATACAGGACTGCTGGTGGTAGAATTAACATCTCCAGGAACCAACATAGATGATTATAGAAATTTGGCTATAAATATCAGGAAGCAGCCTGAAAAGAATTGTGCTGTCACTCTCCAAAGTTCTGGAAGTTTCAGATGCCACAATAAGCCATTTTCTTTGCACTAAAACATATGGAAACTACAATGCTGTGGACAACATGAATAATTGGAAATATACTGGAACACTGGTTGTGGCAGTTTGACGGCTCCTACCATTCTTCTCAGAAATTAAATAGTACATTCTTTTCTTTTAGGCTTCTCTGAGAATAGAAATATAAACTTAAGTGTATTACAAACTTAAAACAACATAAATGCAAATGCAATGGAGTTTTTTTACAGCTCTTCCTTACTTGGTATTTCAGACAGACAAAGGGGAAATCCACTTTGATCAGCCGTTCAAAGAGAGAGATTTCCAGATTGAAGTTCTTGGCCAGGTCATATACATTTGCACTAGGCTGCAACTGAAAGAGAAGGGATAGGAGGTCCATCTTTAAGCACTTTTCCTATGTGTTAGTACAATTTTTTCACTTATCTCATTTTCTGTCATTGGTCCCCCACTAGGGGGGGAATCCAGAAACTGGATTCTTGCAGAAGTGCTAAATATCAAAGTTAGATACAGTCACAATTGAAGCACATATAAAATTGTATCAAATATACTAAAAGACCAATCCCACAGGAGCTCTACTCCAAAACTACAGGAGACAGGACCTGTGATATCTGTGGAAACTGGGGAGCAACGAGTCTTGGCAACCTTTCCCACATGGTGTTTGGTTAAAAGATTGTAGTTCATTTGCACAGCAGTTAGAGGCATTAGTCATGAAAGTTACCTGCTGGTGATCTCCAATGAGGATGAGGTGCTGGCAAGCTTTACTCAGAGTAGTAATGGTGTGAGCCTCGAGCACCTCTGCTGCCTCTTCTACAATGACAATTTGTGGCTCTACTTTTTGCAAGATCTGTCGGTATTTGGCAGCACCTAAGCAAAGACAAACAGTAGTAGAATATAATTATATGCAAGAGTTTTCAGGGAGAGGAATAGACTGCGTCCCAGAAAAGACTGTATTCTTCCCAAGATTCCTCATTTTCAGGACTCAGCTTTTTAAATTCTAAAACAGCACCACACCAGGGATGGCTTTGATTCGAAGTGAAGGCAAGTGGGGATCAGTCCTATGCCTGCCTTGACCCTTTTTCAGTGCTTTCTTCAGACATAAGATACACTCAATACATTGATCTACACACATAAATAAACCTTAAATTGTCTCTCCAAAGGGACAT